GTTCACGGTCATGGACTTCTTCAAAATGCTGAAGAGTTTTTGGGTTTTTTCTTTATTATTATTATTAAATTTTATTAGTTTTAATGAACATTTACAGAGATTTTGGGTTTTCATTCATTCACTGTTGCACTGTTTTCTCCACCCTCCTCCCCAGTTTGTTCTTCTCCCCCCCCCATGTCTATTTTAATTGTCCAATTGACCTCAGTTTCAAGACGATGTGTCTGCTTCAGACCATGGTCCTCTCAATCACTTACATCTCAATCATCAGAGAGCTGGAAAATGAACAAGGATGACAGAAGAAGAATTGATGCCTTAGAGTTGTGGTACTACAGAAGAGTACTGGATATCCATACCATGGACTGCCAAAGAACAAATAACTATGTCTTGGAGAAGGTGAAGCCAGACTGTTCATGAGAGGAAAGGATACTTTGTTTCTCATACTGTGAATATGTAGCTCGGCAAGGCTATTCCTTGGAAAGGGACATCATGCTTGGAAAGGTGGAGGGTCAGCAAAGGAGATGAAGACCTCCAACAATGGACTGAAACAGTGACTACAGCAATGGACTCAAGTATATGATGAGAATGGCACAGGATAGAACAAGAGTACAAATGAGCTGTTCATAGGATCACTATGAGTAGTACTCGACTCAATAGCACCTAACAACAACAATGGGAAGAAACTGTGCTGCTATCCTAAAGCCATGTAATCAAATCCACCAGCTGCTCTGCAGGATAAGGATGGGCAACCTCCTCTCATGTGACTAACTGCCTCCAAAACCCTATTGGTCAGCTATGAGTTGGTTTTGGCTTGAGAGCACACACCAACAATACAGTTATACTATAATACTATGATTACTGGTAACAAATACACCTGCAAACATTTAATAATTAATAGGAGATGCCAGTATATAATCTACTAGTTATTGCAACTACTGCTCCAGATTTTTAGAATAAACTCAACATAGCCTGAGGATGCATGCTTTACTTATATGTACAGGGACCATGATGGCCAATCAATGCTTTGTTTATGGGACAAACTACTACTGAAACTATCAAAAACAGATGGTTACTGAACTATCAAAAGTAAATACACTTTTTTTTCAAGATTGTTATAATTCATAGTACTCAAAGAGGAATGTCATGTCCAATCCTAAAAAGAGACTGTTATGAAATGAGAAATCTCATTACAACTCTTTCAGTAGAACTATGGAAACTAGAAAATACAAACTACAAAACATTAATAAAATGCTAAACTTCAGTTTTTCAACAATAGCATGCAGTGTTTATTCCTCTTTTTTTAATTTATTCCTCTCTTATACAACTATCAACAGTTTCTTTTCGCCTCGACCATAGTCTAGTCATCACTTCTGTCCATATTATTATCACTCTATTATCTTACTAGAGAGCTCGGATGGCTTAGTGGGAAGGAGCTGCACTACCAATCCAAACGCACATGGTTTGGAGCCATTAGCTGCTCCACAAAAACAGACGGGTAATCTACTATGTGACTTACTGCCTCCGAAAACCTACTGGAGGGTAAGTTATTAGTCCATTCCAACTTAACAACACATAACCACCACAGCATCTTACTGGCAACATGGCCACATATGAAACAAGTTAAGAAAAGATACAAACCAACAGTAATAGAAAAGTAAGTTTGTTACAGTAATTATCTTGAGACAGTTTAATGTTAATTTTATGGATAAGCAAAGGAACAATACACTTTTTAAAGTCATAAATAAGGCTTATATAACTATAACTATAGTATAGACCATGAAAACCACATCTATGTCTCCTTGACTAGCTACAGAACTTTTCATTTTATCATAGAAACTGTGCTCTTCAATTATATCTGTAATGTTAAAATTTAAAGTCTCTAATGTCAGATTTTACAATCTACAAGTTAAGAACATCCCTATTCATTTAACAAAAAAAGAAGACTGTAAATTTTCTATTTTTTCATATTAGGTTCTCTTGCCCTTTAAAAATAAAAGAATCATCTCTTATTTCATACCTTTACAAACTCTAAGTAGTCAATATTGGTTCGTTCTCCACCAAGTCTAACAGGAACTAGAATAATAACAGCTTTGTCATCTGGATTCTGAGAGGACTTGGAAACACACTGTTTATCAATTACATCTGAGTTGTAAACTGAGAAAAACAGGAATATGTATTAAATTTCAGAAACATGAACTTCAGAAATTGCATCCCCTCTCTCCAATATTGTCACCCCTGCCCCCCAACATATACTGGCCCATTATCTGATCAATAACAGTTCTGCCCTCAAGTATACTCTAGTGGTAAACAGACAACACAGTAAGTAACTAAAATATAGAATGTGGCAGACAGAGAGAGAGGTACTTTAAAGAAAAAGAAAGATGGTGAGGAAAAACTGAGGACATAAGGCAATTTAAAATAAGCTGATCAGGAAAAGTTGGTGAGAAAATAATTAAAGAAAACAAGTAATGCTAGTGACTGAAGGAATACAATTTCACAAAGAAGGATCAGCAAGTAAAAGTTCCTTGAAACAGAAAGATAACTAGCATGTCTTAAGAACTCAAAAACTCAAAGTCATTGCCATCAAGTCAGAAAGGTCTCACAGCTGACCCTCCAGTAGGTTTTTGGAGGCTATAAACCACACAAAAAGAGATCTTTCTCCAGAGAATTTTTGAAGCGTAGTAATCATTTTTACCACCCTAGGGGCTCTTTTTAAGTATGCTAGGAGAATGGACTGAATTATGTTCCTCAAGACACGCTGGAATTCTACTTGGAAATGGAATTTTCTTTGTTATGTTAATGAGGTCATTATAAGTGTAGGGTGTGGATATATCTCATCACTTTTAAGATATGAAAAGAATCTATTAACACATAAGCAAGGAAGCTTTAATGATGTTACATGAAAGCAATGTCCTGATTTCAGATTTCTACATATCTGATAGAGCTGGACAATGAATAAGGATGACAGAAGAATTGATGCCTTTGAGTTGTGGTGTTAGAGAAGAGTACCGAATATCTATCCATCCCATGGACTGCCAAAAGAACGAGCAGACATGTCTTGAGAAAAGCACAACCAGAGTGCTCCTAAGAGGCAAGGATGATGAAGCGTCTTCTCTCATATTTTGGACATGTTGCTTGTTGTGGTTGTGTACCTTCAAGTTGGAACTGACCCACAACAGACCTTCCAGTGGGTTTACAGAGGCAGGCAGTAAATCACATGGGAGGAGACTACCCATCTTTCTCTCACGAAGCATCTGGTGGATACAGGAGAGGCTTTTCTTTGGAAAGCGATACCATGCTTGGGAAGGTGGAGGGTCAGCAAAAGAGAGGAAGACCCTCCATCAAGATGTACTGACCCAGTGACTGCAGCAATGGGTTCAAGTGTGCCAGAGATGATGAGGAAGGCACAAGATAAGACTGGGTTAAGGTCTATATGTCATAGAGTTGCTATGAATCATACTCAACAGCACCTAACAACAACAAGCTGTGAGAGGGAGCTCTAGGAGCTGATGATAATGAGATGCACTGCCAATGCAAAGGCACACAGTTCAAATCCACCAGCTTTTCCATAGGATAAAGATGGGCAAACGTCTTCGGTGCAATTTACTACCTCTGACAATCCGCCAAAGGGTGAGCTATGCGTCTGTTTCAACTCAACAGTAAATAACAACAAACTCTGAGACCGGAGCTCTAGTGATCGACTGGGTAAGAAGTTGTGCTACCAATCCAAAAGCAGATGGGCCAAATCCACCAGGTGCACCACGGGAGAAATATGGGCAATCTTCTCCCATGCCATTTACATACAGCCACTGAGAGTCAGTTATAAGAAGGCAATGAGTTTGAGGTTTTTGAAACTGTGAGAAAATAAATCTCTATTCTTTAAAACCACTTACTTGTGGAACTTCTGTTACAACAGCACTAAGAAACTAAGATAAAGGACATGAGGGAGGGGGGGAAGAATCATTTCAATTGTCTAGGGTCCTTCTCAAGACATCTAATATATTAAAGAGTATGATTTTGTCCAATTCTTCCCCAAAGGCTCATCATAGCAGTGATTCTCAAAGATAAGATTCTAACATCTTTCTCCAACTACTACTACCTTAACAATTTTGGTCTAAAGGAAAAAAGAAAACAAAAAACCCGGATAATTCAGTGTGAGGTGGCAAGTGTAACATTTAACAAGAGATATTTCCAAAATGCTACAGAGTACAGAGGAGAAATAAACCAATTCTGCGTGATGGGAGTTAGGAAACGTTTCACCAAAGGTCCAATCTTTAAGCCTGTTCTTGAAGAACAAATAAGCAGTAAAAAGAATAAAAGATATAGGGGGCATTTGAAGCTGAGGCAGTAATATGTGCAAAGGTACAGAAATAACACAATAACAGTACATTAAAGTAATATCATAAATGTTGATAGTATTTAAGTTTATTAGGCATGGAAGATGGTGTTTGGGGACGATGCTGCAACCGCAGATCAGGCCAAATTGTGCAAATATATGCTAAGATAACATGAGATTAGAGTTAATGAGCAGCTACAATTTTTCAATAAAGAAGGAACATGATCAGATTTCTGTGCATCAGATTGATCAGAAAGAGGAGAGGTATAGGCAGGGAAATCAAGTTAAAGTTCCACTGAGAGATAAGGATCTAAACAAGGAGAATGAAAAGCAGGTTTCATAAGCATCTTTAAAATAATTACTGAAAAGGTTTTTGATTGACAGGACCTACGTGAGAAAGGAATAAAGAATGAGAGAGATTTGTATCTCCCTTGTTTAGGCAGACAGAAGCTATTAATCAAGAGAAAACAGAGGGAAAATGAAGTAATTGTTAGTTGTTAAGTACCATTAAGTCAGCGCCAACTCACAGCAACCCTACAGACAGCAGCTTGGAACCTTGCCCTATTCTGCCTGATCATCACAACCTCCACCTTGCTCAACTCCACTGATGCAGTCATTGTATCAGTCTATTTTGTTGAGGGTCTTCCTCTTTCACTGACCCAACACCTTTTCCAGCATGATGTCCTTTTTCAAGGATTTGTGACTCCTGGCAACATGCCCAAAGTATGTGAGGAAAATGCTGCTAGGAGAAGCTATTCCTTGGAAGGGGATATCATGCTTGGAAAGATAGACGTATCAGGCTTGCAAAAGAGTGGAAGAGCCCCGACAAGAGGGATAGATAGAATAACTCCAGCAATGGGCTCACAAGTGTCAGAGAGGATGAAGTTGGCCAGGGTTCAGATCTGTTGTTTTCATAAGGTCGCTATGAGTCAAACTCAACTTGATGGTGCCTAAGTACAACCACCACCACCAAGAAAGAAAATACAAAATGAGAAATGAGGGGAACATTAGTGGAAAATAGAAACACTAGCAGAGGACGTGGGGGAATTACTGATGGAATACGGCTTCATCTTATTTCTAATCCCACAATAAAAATACATTAGTAATATAAACTCTCCTTGGTATAAATGGCAAAAATTTTAAAAACTACAAAAAAATTATTTACATTTTTATTATTTAAAACTTATTTCTATATTACTAACATTCAAATTATATTAAGGAACTCTGTGTTATGTGTTGTTCAATTAAGTAATAAAATGCAACAACTGAAATTAAGGCAGACTGACACCAATAAAAGCAGCACAGAAGGCATTCACAAATGCATTGAATAATTAATTATTTAAGCACATTCTTAGACTTCATTAGGATTCTTAACACAGCAAATTTAATTTTTCTAGTCTTCTACCTCAAAAATAAATATGGGACTTTTTTTTCTTTATTGCTACCATAATGGTTTCTTCATTTTCAGCCTTTCTTATAAAAGAAGTTAATCTTAACAAAAGGTAAATTAAAAGTCCATGTGATTTCCACACTACAAAAACCAGTTAATTATCAGAATCACCTCAGCATTTTTAAGGTACCCTTACATTAAAAAAAAAAAAGCACTAAGGAATATTTAACTTTTTCTAAAATATTAACATATTTTATACTATAAGTGATAACATTTCTGAAAAAAATACATTTAACAACATGAGGCAGTTTATTTTCTTAGCAAACTAAGGCCTCAATTACCCAACCAAGTTTCAAAATTACTACAACTATCGGCCATTAAACAGGAGACAAAATGTATCAAAATAAAGCAAAAAATCAAGGCAGTTGCCTGACAGACATTCAGAACATCAGATGATTTATTAAAGCACTAAAAACATACAGAACCCAAATATAAACCTGTTAAATTTTATCATCTATATCAGTAAAGCAATCATTGAAGATGTTGATATCTTCTGAGAGTTTTTTAATATCTAATAATTCATAATATGTCTTTAATAAACAAGTATTTTGAAAAGTAGGGTAGTATGCAAAAACACAGACAGCATAATGTCTATTTTGTAATCATTTACAGTGTAATTGGGAATATAAGCTCCAATAAAAGAGGCTAGAATTACGTACTTTCCTTACCTGTACAATCTTGAGCAACATAAATAGTTATACCTTGTAAATCAGGATGTCTTGCTTCTTCAACTGCTTTTCTAAGAAAATAAAAAATGTAGTATTTTTAAATCCTAAGTCTCAATTCCAGTTGTTATTGAAAGACTTACTATAAGGAGGTAAAAAGACATTTTTTCTCTGACTTTGCTACGTAAACTGTATCTGGTCTCCAAAAACTATCACTTGAATGCTATTGGAGATCAAGTCAAATTTTTCAAACTTGAAAATTTTTTTTTAAATTAATCAAAGAACTATAAAATTTAAGTTAAAAAAATAAGTAAGAAAATGTTGGGCATAAATCTGTGACAAAACAAAAAAAAAAGATTTCTCTCAACTGATTTACTTGGCTGTATTAAGTGTTTTTTAACCAATGATACTACAATAAACTTCAACATCGGCTTTATATTCACTTACATAACTGACTAGGAACAAATAACTATGTTTTGTCCTCTAGTACACCTCTTAAAGTTGTTTCATTTTCTTTTTACATCACTATAACTTTTATTTCTTCTTCAGAAAACTTCTATGACAAATTAATTTCCCAATGTCAAGTCTTCGAATTCTGTAAAATTGCAAGTTGAAAAATATTTCTAATTGATTCTAATGCTTAATGGTTCATACACTGTGATAAAAAAACACAGTAACAGTATCTGTAAAATGAAATTATAAAAATTGTTGTTTTTATATGCTGTCAATTACGATTCATGTTGTTGTTCTGTACCATAATCAGAAATGACCCATACATGACCCTCTGGCAGGTTTTCAGAGACAGTTTTTCACATGGGAGGAGACTGCCCATCCTTCTCCCGTGGAACAGCTAGTAGCATCAAACCACATGCTTTTGGGATCACCTCTTGTCATAAACAATAGCTCTGAATGCTGCCCTATCTTGAGCCAATCGAATTGTCTCTGACACACCGGTCCCCACTGCCAAAGTCATTGTCTCAAACCGTCTTATCTCTTGCACTGACCCTCCACCCTTCCAAGCATCATGTCCTTCTTGAAGGACTAGTCCACTCCTGACAAAATGCCCAAAGTATGTGAAATGGAACTTCACAATTCTTGCCTCCAAGGAGCAACCTGGTTTCAAACCTCTCCAGGACAGACCTGTTTGTTTTCCTGTAGTCCATGGTATGTTAAATATTCTTATCCAATACAACTCAAAGGTATACAGGTGTAATATTTCTGTTTACCCATATTTTTCTAGTTCTTTCACTTAACCTCTCTTATTATGCATATGTCTGTGTGCCAGCAAAGAACAAGGTTTAGCAAACTTTGACCCAAAAGTCCCTGCCCTGTTTCTTTATAGCTTACTGAGCTGCAATCTCAAAAGCACACAGCTGGGATCCACCAGCTGCTCCACAGCAGAAGGATGGGAAATCTCCTCCCATGAGATTTACTGCCCCTGAAAACCCACTGGAGGGTCATCTATAGGTCCATTCTGACTTGGTGGTACACAACATCATGCTAAGGACCATCTTTTTACAGTTTTAAAAAGGTTGTGAAAATAAAGAAGAATGTGGAAAAAAAACTTTCCAAGACCTACAATATTTACTAAAGTATTTACTATTGCTGTGCTGCAATTCCAAAGGTACATGGTTCAAATCCACCAGTTGCTCTGTGGAAGAAGGATGGCAGTCTCCTCCCATGGAATTTATTGCCTCTGAAAACCCACTGGAGGGTCAGCTATGGGATGGTTCTGACTCAACGGCACACAACAACAACAAATATTTTCCCCTTTACAAATAGTTTCTTATCCTTGGCATATATCATAGCCTAAAGGGTAGCAACTGTGTTTTATGAGTATGCTTTTATAAACTTTATACTAAGTTGGCCTTGTATTAATAAATAATTCAATAAGTAAAATTAGAACATAATTTTTAACTGTAAGCATTTTATCTGAAAAATATAAATGTTAATGTTAATATCAAAAAAATGCTTTCTAGTAACTTAAAATTTCTAAGTGCAATGAATTTACCATAACATGCTATATAATGTTAATAATTAAATTTGTGATAATTTTGGAATACAATATATAAGGCCATTTTAAAAACTTATGTAGTATCCAAGTAAATGGCTGAGGTACACTGAAATTTGACTTTTGAGTTTTTCTAGCCAACTGAATATCACAGACCTTTTATTTTTTACTATGACATAATCAGACTATTAATAGAGCCGTACATTTGCAATTCTCAAGAGTTTGATGTGAGAAAAGAAATGCTGAAAACATTAATTCTAGCTCTTGTTATTTCATTACACCATATTATAGCCCCCAGGTTATACTATTTTTAAAAGAAAAAAAGAAAACTCTATTATGAATGTTTAGAACATTTAAATAAGGTAATCTACTGAAAACCTACACTAAAAAGAGATCTTGGATATTTTTTCCACTAAGCAAGACAAACTGCTTGTCAACAGACAAATTAAATCTAAATGGAGTCACCACAAGTCAAGGCTTCCACTTCTTTATTATTTTTCCCTGTTAAAATATGGGACATTTTTTGGTAAGTGTTCTTATACAGATTTTAAAAGCTCAAATTACACACACACACACACACACACACACACACACATTGGAAAAACTATCTCTGAGACAGAAGACTCTGTCATAAAATAAAGAGAGCTTAAAATTTTACCTTAAAATGTGAGCAACTACAGCTGGTCCATACCAATCTCCAGCTTTTTTCCCCGACTTCTTTCCGTATTCTATTAGTTGATGTAAGCCAAAGAGGGCCAAGGGGGAATCACCAAACCAAGAGATGATTCTCCTATGATAAATTTCATTTCGCATTTCATGATCATCAGAATATCTCCCAACCGTTTTCTTCAAAGAAATTGATGGCGTTTTGAGTTCAGTTTCCCCTGACAGCGATGCTTCAAATGATGCAGTAAATTTTTTTACAGTGTGAGAAGTCCATGATTCAGAGTCTGAATTTTCAATGTTCAAAGCATCAGGCCAGGTCCAAGCTATGGTAGTTTCAAAGCAAGGTGTTCAGATCTTTTAAAGAGTTGGATTTTAACAATTCTACTAAAAATCAGCCTGTACCAATTCATTAAATACATATGGATTACCAAAATTATTTTAAAAAATCAGGAATAGGGATAATAGAAAGTAGATTAATGGTTGCCAATGAAGGGGTGAAGAAGTCTGGTAATAGTGTGGGTAAAGGCATTTTGGGGAAAGAGGAGTTAATATACTTCCATAAAGATTTACAGTCTTGAAAACCTTAAGGGCAGTTCTACTCTGTCCTACAGGGTTGCTCTGAGTGAGAATCAACTCTATGGCTATGGTCTGAGTTTTGGTTGTTATGTAGTTGTACAGGAGCCCTGGTAGCAGAGTGGTCAGGCACCTTGATGTTAACCAAGAGGTCAGTGGTTCAAATCCACCAGCAGCACTGTAGGAGACTGATCTATATGGAAGTTTACTTCTATAAAGCCCTAAAGAGAAATTGTATTCTCTCTTACAAGCTTAGTATATATTCAAATCAACCAGACAGCAGCTTGGTGTTTTATTGTGTTTTTTTTTTGTTTTAGGGGCTTTTTTGTGTTTTTTTTTTCCTTTATGGAGGCAGAAGATATTGAAAATCCTGGTAATGTGTCTGAGTTATTATTAGGGGTGTATAAAAATGTTCTAAAATGACACTATGGTCAAAATTGTAGAACTCTGCTAATATTCTAAAAAACAGTGAACAAATTTTAAACAAATTAATTTATGGTATATTCATTGTTTTTCAATAAAGCTCCTTTTAAAAAAAAGGTACCAGTAAAGAAAATACAATGTATTATTAACTCTTTTTCTGAGTAGTAATATCATTATTTTTTCTAAACTTTCTAAAATTTCCAAAAGGTATATATACTTCATATAATCAGAGAGAAAAATTATAAAAATTTACAATGAAAAAAATTGTGAAAAGGCACAAACAAGCAATTCTGAAAATTGTTATTTCTTTTCTGTGAGAATGCCAAGAAGGAATAATGACTTCTATATTCTATTGCCAGGGCTTCTTATCAGACAAGCACTCTCAACTACCCAAAGGTATAAAGAGCAGATCTATAAACATTCACAAGTTATTATAAAATAGATTCTCTTAGTATTTTCTATTGAAAAGTTTTACCATAAAAGCGTCAAAATTTCTTTTCAAAATATATTTTCATGTACTTTCAGAATAATTTAATGATTATTTATAGAGTAATAATAATTGTTTAGTAAAGGAGAAGTTAACAAACACATGAAAGGTCAAAGACTCTTAAAAATAAAATATAATCATTCTGTCATAGCTTTTAAAACAAGACAGCCCTCAAATAAACATATACTAACGTCATTACATTATATACAATTTAAACTTTGCAAAAGGAGCTGCAGATTCATAGGACTAAGAGAACTATGTACTCAGAAAAATATTCCAAACCTTGCCTATAACTACAGGCCAGGAAAAATACTCTTAAAAATATTTTTTGTCTTGCATTGTCCATAACATTCTTGAACAAAATTCTTTCTAAGTGACTTCATCAACAGTCTCTTAGAAAGGTTACCAAATGTTTGCCATTCATTGCTAGAAAATTGTCTAAACACTTTAAAAAAAAAATCCAAACTCTGGTAACATTTGGTATCAGATGATACCATAGCTTAAAATAGTAATTAAAATCCTCCTATAAAATATGCACATTCTAAAAAATAAACTAGAGAAATAGTAGTAAAAGTGATACTTCAGGAAATATATATAACCACTTATACTTTTTTAAAACAAAATATTATAAGAATAAAAATAATTTTAAAGTGTTATATATACATATAGGGAGAAAATGAACTTATTTTTCCACTACTGACTAAGGTAATTGGGATGAGTGTTACTGGAGACAGTGAGATTGGCACAGGACAGAGTAGAGTTTAGGGCTGTTGTACATAGGGTTGCTATGAGTCGCAAGCAACTCGACGGCACATAACAACAACAACTTATATCTAATAATCTATAATGCTATAAACTAAAAAGCACCATACACAACTTTTTTTATCAGATTTCAATAACGGAAAAATGTCAGTTCAAAGTCACTGCTGTTGACCTGACTGAGATTTGCTAATATCAAGATCTCCAGAAACTGAAATAAAAGGAAATAAAAACAACAATAACAACCCAAAGGCTACCAAAAATGGAACTTAAATTTATTAAGATAACCAAGAAAAATACTTATGTTTAATCTATATTTCTTTAAAAGCAAATCATGAATATTTTCCCATAGAGTTTTAGAAAATGTCAGGGAGTCAAAAAATTATCTCATAGAGTTTTCTGCAACTTGAAAGCTGAACTCTTAAGACAAAAACAAAAGAAGATTGATTTACCTCTACCGAGAAAGTGTAGTATGAGTCCTTGAGCCAACAGCATCTGGCCAGTTCTCAAGGTACATCCCCAACCACAGTCTGTAGTCAAAGTTGAGCCCTCTATTTGAGGAAATTCTTCCCTGTAGGTCAACCATATTCTAGAAATAAAATCTTTACGAAATTCTTCCACATTTCCTGAAATTAAACAGTCTTCTATTGCACAGCCCGATCTTGAAGGTAACATTTTATTTTCATCTGTAAAATAAAAATATAAACAACATTCTAAAATAACCAACACAAGAAATACCTGTGGTACTATTATGTCATAAGACATAAAATGTGTCACAATCTATCTAATCCTTTTATTCTGATTTTAAATGAAGATAATTATATTAAGTCTAATTAGATTACTATGAAAGTGAATGTTAAAATGGATTTTACACAAATAACTAATACACCATAAACTCAACTCCTGGTTGTGAATTTGGAACCAACTCATAGGTGACCCTCCAGTAGGTTTTTAAAGACTGTAAATTACACAAAATGATACTCTTTCTCTCACAGAGCAGCTGGTGGATCTGAATGCTTGTCTTCGGGTTAGCCGAACAAATCCATACTTTTCTGAGTTAGCAACACAACTCCTTACCCTAGACCACTAGTGCTCCCTAATGCCAAAGGAGATGCATGATAACAATTTGTTGGATATATGTTGTTTGTTGTTGTTAAGTGCTGTCTAATCGTGACTCAGAGTGACTCTATGAACAAAAGTCCTCCACACTTGTGTGACTTTCATCCTTTCTCCAGGTTCATAGGGTTTCTGGAAGTAAGCTATTACAGAAGTGGATGCCACTCCTGCTTCTAAGCTTGTTTTAATGGAGGAGCTCCACCCAACACTGTCCACCAAGGGTAACCATTAACCCATTTGACACATCAGTGTCACAGGGTTCAGCTTCACAGCAACCACAAGTTACCACTGTATGGCAAGTGGACACACCAGGGCTATACGACCAAGAGGAATGTTTGACCAAAAACAATGAAAAACAGGCCCAAGGGCCAATATATTGTTTAGGAGCACTAAATTGCAGCATATAGCTTCAATGATAATAAGTAAACAGAACAAATTCCAAGTCTTTATTGCCAATGAATTACTCTCAATATTATGCACAATGTAAATTTAATTGTAAAGAAAAGTATCTGGAAATTTATACAGCACAACATTGTGTTAAAATTAGCATTTTAGAGCTATTTAAATTTGTTTCAAGTCTGATAACAGTACATAAAATTCAAACCTCATTCTGTAATTTCCAAACATAAAGTTCCTAATCTGTTACCCTGGAAGAGTGAATAACCTCTTTATCTTTTTAAAATCATTTCTCCTCTTAATATTTACTCTAAATAGTGTTGGAAAACTGCTAGCATTTAATAACTTTGTTTTCTAATTGTTCTTTCACCATAATGTTTCTCCCTCTCTGTCATTTGACTCATTGGTTGGGTTGCATTTGTGACATTCTTAATTAACCATACTCATAATTTTTTTAAATCTATTATCTGTCCCCCTGTCAGATTATAAATGCTCTAGAGGAAGAGTATATTTATCTTCTACATTTTCATATCTCCAGTAGTGTTTAGTCACAACTTCTCATTGTCCTCAATTAGACCTGGCTCACAATAAACCCTCCATTAGGTTTCAGAGGCTATAAATCTCTCTAGAAAAGATTGCTTATCTCTCTCTGGTGGAGCTGCAGGTGTATTTAAACTGCCAAAGAGCTGTGGCCTAACAGTCAACAGCACAGCTCTTTAAGGACTATGCCACTAGAAAAAACAACTCAAACTCATTGCCATGTAGTTAGAACCAACAACTCAGATCTGACCCTAAGTTATCAAAGGCTGTAAATAAAAATGGAAGGAGGCTTTCCAACTTACTCCCTTGGAGAACTTTGTATGGATAACATCGAGAAGATTGGTGGCTCATACAAAGCCTATACTAGACCAAGAAGCTACTGTCCAAACAAAACAACAGAACACTGATTTTAAATGGTTTAAAATCAGGAAAGGTGTGCATCACAGCTAAATCCTTTCTTCATACCCATTCAAATTGTACGCCAAACAAATCATTTGAGAAACTGAACTATATGAAGAAAAATGGGGCATCAGGATTGAAAGGGTTTATTAAAAGCTGCAATTTGCTGACAACATACCTTGCTTGCTGAAGACTAAGAGGACCTGAGGCACTTGTTGCAGAAGATCAAAGACCACAGCCTTCAATATGGACTACATCTCAACATCAGTAAAAATCCTCACCATTCAACCAAAAGATTTTATCATGATAGTTGGAGAAAAGACAGTTGTCAATGATTGCACTTTACCTGGATCCATAATCAAGCAAAGATGACAGTTTAAAGAGTAAGGTGTGTCTGATTCAAGTCATGGTCTTTTCAATTACTTCCTATGCATCCGAAAGTTGAACAATGAATAAGGATGCTAGAAAAAGAATCTATGCCTTTGTGTTGTGCTACTGGAGAAAGTAGTAAATATCCCATGGAGTGTCAAAAGAACAAGGTCTGTCTTAGAGAAAGTGAATCAGGGCGCTCCACAGAGTTACAGATAGTGACACTTGCACTCATATACTAAATAAATGAAAAATGTTCCCTGTTCATGGTTAGGAAGACTCAATATAGTGAAAATGAAAAAGCTACCAAAAGCAATCTACATGTTTAATGCAATCCCAAAACAGACACTAAAAGTATTTTTCAAAGAGATAGAAAAGGCAATTGTTAAGTTTATTTGGAAAGAGTTTTTGAATAAACAAAGCACCTCTGAAAAACAAGAATGAAGTGGGAAGCATAGCACTCCCTGATCTCAAAACCTACTACACAGCTGTAATAACCAAAACACCATGACACCGGTACAATGAGACACATGGACTACTGGAACAGATTTGAGAATCTAGAAATTAAAGATCTATCTATGGACTGAAGCTCAATATCAAGAAGATAAAGATTCTCACCACCGGGTCCACTGGCAGCATCATGATAGATGGAGAAGAGACTGAGATAACAGCTTTAGCTTACTTGGTTCCACAATCAACAACTCTTGGTACCGGTTGTCAGGAAATCAAAACATGAATTAAATTGGGAAAGTTGGCTGTCAGGTATCTCTCCAGAGTACTAAAAAGCAACAATGTCAGTCTAGAGACTAAGGTGTGCCTGATCCAAACCATGGTCCTCAAAATGACTTTCAATGGATCAAAGAGCTGGATAATGACTAAGGATGACAGACGAAGAATCGGTTACCTTTGAGTTATGGTGCTAGAGAAGAGATCTGAACATACCATGGACTGCCAAGAGAATTAACAAGTCTGTACTGGAGAGGGTGAAACCAAGCTGCTCTTTGGAGGTAAGGATTTTGAAGCTCCGGCTCACATACTTTGGTATGTGGCCAGGAGGGACCAGTCCTTGGAGAAGGACATCATGCTTGGAAAGGTGGAGGTACAGCACAGGAGAGGAAGACCTGAAATGAGATGGACTGATACAGTAACTAGGGTACTGAGGATAGTTGTGTTAGAGACAGTGAGATTGGCTCAGGATAGGACAGTGTTCAGACTGTACATAGGGTTGCTAGGAGTTGCAAGCAGTTCGATGGCCCATAACAACATCTGTGGTAAACTGATAGTCAACAAGGAAACAAAACCTATCAAATGTGGAAATGACAACCTTTTCAACAAATAGTGCTGGCAAAATTGGACCACCAACTTCAGAAAGCTGAAGCAGGATCCACACCTCTCACCATACACAAAAATCAACTCAAGGTGGATCAGAGACCTAGGAGTAAAGCCCAAAACCATAAAAACCATGGGAGACAAAGTAGGGCCAAGCTAAAAGGCCTATCCCATAGTATAAACCTATTATTAAGATGATCATGAAATTCAGATGGAATTGATTCAAGATCATATCTTGGTTCTTGTGGACTTACTTCCATTTTCTTCAGCCTCAATTTGAACTTGCATATGAGCAACTGATGACCTGACCCACTGTCTGCTGCTGGCCTAGTTGTGACTATCCCTATTGAGCTTCTCCAACGATTTCTTCTACAAATGTAGTCAATCTGATTCCTATGCAGCCCATCAGATGAGATCAAAATGTAAAGCTGTCTTTTGTGTCTTTTAGAAAAGGTATTTGTAATTTAGAAATCATTGTAAATACAAAATTCAATCATTCTTTTCCAGCTTCATTTCTACCCACCAAGCCCATATTTTCCAACTATTGTTCCTTTTTCAATGTTTCCCACTTTTGCAGTCCAGTCACCAATTATCATTAATGCTTCCTGATTGCATGTCCTGTTAATTTCAGACTACAAAATTTGGTAAAAATTCTCAATTTCTTCCTCTTTGGCTCTAGATGTAGCAGTACGTATTTGAATAATAGTTGTGTTAAAAGGTCTTCTTTGTATGCATATGGATATTATCCTATCACTCACAACACCATATTTCAAGATAGAACTTGAAATTGACCTTTTGACTATGAATGCAACACCATTCTTTGTTTTTCATTCCCTGCATAATATACCATATGATTATCTGATTCAAAGTGGACAAAGCTGGTCCATCACATCTCATAAATGCCTAGTATGTTGGTATTCACGCATTCCATTTTTAACAATTTCCAGTTTTCCAACATTCAAGCTACATACACTCCATGTTCCAATTGTTAAACAATATTTGTTATAGATTTTCCTCATTTCAATGACTTCCAATCTGGGCTCTACCACTACACCACTATAACTATCCTCTTTGTTTACTGTTCACAGGGTTTTCAATGTGCTTTCATAGTGTTCAATGGCTAACAATAAGCAGAATGGGAAATCCAGAGCACTTGACTCTGCTCATGCTTAACCTGTACCTGGACCAGGAGATTGTTGGGCAAACAGAGCAGGGGAGCAATGCACAGTTTGGAACTGGAAAGAGAGTGCACCAGAGTTGTATTTATCTCTCCATACCCAATCAATCTGTATGCTGAGCAAATTATCTGAGAAGGTGGACTCTATAAGGAGGTGTGTGGTATCAGGATCGGAGGGAGACTCATAAATAACTTGCATTACATAGATGACACAACCTTACTTGCTGAAAGTGAGGAGGGTTTGAAGCACTTGTTGCAAAAGATCAAGGAATGCAGCCTTCAGTGTGGATTGCATCCCAACATCAAAAAAACAAAGATTCTTACCACTGGACTGATAGGCAGTGTCAAGATGGATGGAGA